CACATAGTATTATATTATATAGCATGTTTAACAATAATAATATTTACATATATTATTATTTATTCTACGTAATAATGTGTATCAACTACTAATTAGACATCGATAATAATAACTATGCATATAATATTATAGTAGTTATACAACGCACGTATTATAAAATTCAAAACTAAGAGAAAAGAAAACTAAACTATATGGGCATTGTACAATTCATCGTATTAATTTTAGTTCATTTCTTATGTTTTTTTTCTTATTCAAAAATGATGATCATATTATTATAAGTGTCAAGTCACGAATTAATTAAAATATAGGGAAAATATTTGTAGATAAATAAAAGTAATTAGTATCTATTTTCGATTTCACGAACTACATTTTAATTAATAAAGATACCATACCTCATCAGGCTCATATACCTATAAAAAAGTTTGTTGTTAGTTTCTATATTTTTGTTTAGGCCCCATTAACAATCCAAAACAGAATTACATATTTTCAGAAGCTATAACCCAGGTACCTAAATCCGAGTAGTTCTTCCACATAATAGGCTAATAGATCCATACGAATGGTCATATATAATTTTCTGCAGTTTGCAGAGCATAACAAGTGTAGATGTGTAATATGTATATTATGGTGCTCTACACTACAGTACCATAACTAGAAATTCTATTTATTTTACCAAAATTTAAAAAAAAATTGAGGGTGGCTCCCTAGTAGGCGGTGCTCTATGTCTCGTAATGTGTGTTTGTCGTTCAAGATTCAAAATTGTTATTTACATTTAAAAACTCTAAAGAAATTCTTCATTTTCATGAGAAGTAGGTAAATATTTTCATAAACATACATAGTACTGCAGAATAGTAGTTAAAATTAAACTCATAAATATTTATTTATTTATTATCGCGATGTATATTTTATTTTGGTTTCTTACTTGGTAGATAAATACTATAACCTATAGCGGGTACCTATATGATATAGTCACCCGTCATTATTATTTTATATTTTACATATTATAAAGTAGGTACTGTAACTATTTACCATTAATTTCATATTCGAATGCACTCGATAACTATGATAATATGCATTATATCTATGTCAATGGTATTAATGTCATAAAAAACGAACAGTTTTACACATGTTTACGTGCATTTTATTATTGCGATTTACGACATCAGACGCAACGCCCATAAAATATATAAAACATGTTTAGAGCCTTAGAGGTAGGTATAGTATATAAGTTACGAATCTCGACGAAGTCAGAGAATGTTGAAGAATAATGCATTTTACATTTTATTCACCATTCAGATATATAAGTCGGTTGTTGGTATAAACATGTAATGAACGACAAGTAAATTACATATCACACAATAAGTAGGTAGGTACATTCGTGTCAATGGCTCAATGTATCACGTTTTCCAAGTGTATAGTTTGATGAATCATGTAAAGATAATATAGAAAAAGTGGTGGACACGTCATATCAATGCGATATTAATAATTAGTAAATAGGTTAGTAAGTGATAAACGATGAGTAGGTAACAGTAAAGTATAGTAAACATATTATAAAGTATGATAAAACTAGGTGTGAGCGTTTATGTTATATATAATTGAATATTATAAGATGGAATATAGTTATTTATAATAAACGTATATGACTTTAAGTGGACAATATACCTACTATATAAATTGAAGATTTAACGGACGGAAATCATTGAATAATGAATATACGTATGTATGGTAGACAGCACTCACACAAACAATTTCAATGACTATAATCAGTATAATCTGACGATTACTTAGATTCCGCTACGGTCTGTGAATTTTACGATTTGACCAATATAGAGTAGTGACAAAGAAACTGGCCTAAATTGTTGAAACGTAGAATTGAAAAAAATAAACTGACTTAAGCCATCAAAATCCCGTGATAAACAGATGTAAATATGAACTAATATTTCATTATCAAGGAATGAATTGCTCGTTTCGTATTAATATCCGATTTTTTTTAAAAAAAAATATCCACCGAAAATACGAGTGGGAAGTAGGACGACAAAACGAAAAATAATTCTTAAAATACTTTAACAACAATAAACAATAATTGACGTAACTACACTCAAACGAGACACTTTTTTTGATTCAAAGTCCTTTCTTCTTGATGACGAATGATCAGTTGTATTTTTATTATTACTATCGAGATTATGGAGTATAAAGAGAATCTGTTATTGAATCCTAAATAAAAGGATTAACTGCAGGTTGTATAACCTTTAGAGATGAATTTATAGGTATAACTGGGACTAGGATATAGATAAATACATATTTACACTGTGACTTGATAAATTTGTTTCAAGTGATTTTCAATTAAACACATATTTTTACATACCTATTTCATCATAAATACTACGTGTATATAAATATTTTAAAATAATTCTGTTTTTTTTCACATATTATTGTTTAGACAATGTTGACAATATAATAATAGACCGATATAGATAACATTTTAAGGATGAAATACCAGCTGATATCTTGTCTAAGTATTAATTATTATTTATTTTGTATTATGGTTATCCGAAAAGTAGACATGTGACGAACCGTAGTATGCATATTTCATGGTTTAAGTTTCGTTTGTACGCTGTTTACGTGTACTTAATTATTTTGTAAACTTTTTGCATTAATGTATTTTTATTAGTTCTAAGATACTGTAACATTTGTTCGTTTTAGAAATTTTCCATAGATGTAAGTATTACAAATAAATCAAAATATTTTCTGAATAATGTTGTATTATATACCCATAGCCAACGGGTTTGGAAAATGCTATACATGTATAACAAATAAATCATAATATAAGACATATACATAAATATTGCATATTTTGAGTTTCGAATTATTATCACATTTAAATCCGAGACCTAGATAACGTATGAGAATGGACAGTGGTAACTCAAAGCCAAAGTTGAAAAGCGTAAAAGCACAAAGATAAGACAACGAGCACAATACAATTACAAACTAAATAATATGTGTAACACGAACTCTAATACTATACAGACGGTAGACGTTAGTACGTTACGGTAAGCAACTCTGATCGAGTTACGTATTATTCTCGTTATAACCACAGATGTCTATGATCCACGATTAAGATGGGCAATGGCCAATGAACCTTAAACAAAAATAAATAAAGGCACCTGACATAAATATGCATAAGTACTGTTTGTCCCGAGAAATACAAAAAGAAAAAGAAAATAGGATCATTGAAATCATTATAAATTTTGTAACTTATAAATTATAACAGTTTAAATTGGTATGCCAACATTTTAGATTTTATTTTTAATTAGAACTCTTATTAAAATACTTGAAATATATATAAATATATTTTAATAATAAATGCAAGTCTATAATACACGAGTAAACTGAAAATAATAATATACAATGTAGGTACATTATAATATACATATATTTAGTAACAACACTGATTTCAATAAATTTAAATGTTAACTTAAGACATAAAAATGTGAGCAAATAATAATTTTCATATAATGTAATATAGATATTTACCAAGAAAATATACTTCTTAACACTTACCAATATAATGAACTCTATACAACACGTTCTGTCAATGATTATTGTTCATACAATATAATATTTTAATGAATTAATTTATAAAATATAACTGAACATAATAAATTAAAACGCTAGAGGGAAAAATAATTAAACACTTTAGTGGCTTAGTCAGGTACTTAATTAAAATAGTAGAAGGTATCATTTTGAATGTTTTTGTATTGTTTAACTGGACATCAAAAGATGTTAAGTGGAACAAGTAGTACAATTATTATTTGTTCATGACTACATTTTTTGAAATGTGACCGATAGGCATAGTTATTGATTTTAATACTTTAGAAATATTAAATTAAATTGTTATTTAACTGTCGATAAGTCAGGACAATCTTATTACATCCTTGAGGGTGGAGAACCCGAAGAAAGGAGCTTAATATTATTAGTAATATCATAAACAACTTTATCACATATTTTACTAATTGGGTATTGAATATGACAATTTATACTACGTTTATAGTTTGGTATATTCTGTTCACAATCGATTTGATCTGAAAATAAAATAATTAAAGTAGTGTGATATTGTGTTGTTGAATCACTTATTAAGTACATAGGTATCTACAATTTCAATGCAAAGAATAATAATTGAAAACAACACGTAGACCGGAAGCTTCGTCGTTGTATAGACTGCATGACAGGTATAATAGGTAGACTTGTTTTTACATACCTATCTACCATCTACCAAAATGTTGGACCCTGTTTAGTTTATCTAAAACACTAAAAAAATATTTATTTTATAAGTCTTAATTTTATAAAACATACGTATTAAGTTGTTATTTTTTTACGGGACATTAACCAAATTGTAAAATTAATGACTAGACATATTTTTTTTTCTTAAATACATTTCAACCACAAACCATCATTATAAGTTAGAAACGACCATTATTTAAAAAATGTATAAGCATTCCCTTTCTGTTATTTGATATTTATTTTTTTATCAAAGTAACTGAAAATGTGAAAGTTTGAACATTCGGAAACAAAACGAGACCTACACTCGCTACGTTTCGCAAAAATAAAAAAATTAGTTTATAGTGGTCATAAACATAAGTAGTAAAAAATATACATTACTCGCGTCGGATTTGTCATAATATATAAATTCGCCAAGTATTTGCAATGTCTTCTCGGTCGATAAGCATCGCAGAGTAAAGGTAAATAATCAGTTATTGCAGCCGCGAATGCCGATCGAAATCAAAGAAAACATAATAAAATAATGTCATAGTCCTCATCACGAATATAAATACACTACCTACCCATATTTACAGACGGAATTTATACTACCTTCACGAGTTTTTATTGGCCGATACATAATAATAATATTGTGTTGTTGCGTTTGTTTTTTCAGAAACCGGATAACGGAAACGACCGTCGGATGTCTGTGAAACGGTCGTAAAGCAACCGGTGGTTTTGTCGTGATGAGCGTGCGGGCGCTATTGCGCGCTATACTTTTGGCCGTCTTGGTCGCAGCGACATGTCGAGCCGACGAAACGACGAGTGATTATTCCACCGCCGCTGACCCTACAGACCGACCGGAGTCGACTGAAGACGAGGTAAGATCGGACTAAATTAAAATTATGACATTTTTAAAAACAATACTCCCATGAGTCGGACACTGTACAAAATTATATGTGGAATCGAACATTAAAATATATAGGTACCCGGGTAGGCATGCGTTAAAAAGATGCATTGTTTTTTTAAAATCCATTCTACTAAGAGAAAAAAAACCACTTAAAAAATTATAGTTGTAATAAACTAATAACTATATAAATCACTATTTCTATAGTTTAACCTGTATGCTGGTCAATTTTTGGCAAATTAAAATTCGTTATTCTTACTATACGCATATACTTAGTCAAACTACAAATAATGGTATGTATTTTATCACAAAATAAAATGGAAAAATTACCTCCCTAGGTATTAATAAATAGAATATAACAGCTTGTACCTACTATTCAAGTATAATATACAAATGAAAAATCAAAGGCCCCTTAAGATCTAATTTATAATACTGAATTTAAATAAACGAAATTTATGTTTAGATTGGTCATTTGGTCAATTGTTTTTGACAAAACCGACTGGGAGGCTCCTTAATCATAAATACTTCATAAAATATCTTATAAGAACCAAAATAATTTTCTATTATTTAAGTTGAGTATATCGAATTTATTTATTTGATGAACCTAACTGTTCATAGCATCAAGCATGATGTAATATAATTGTGCAGGTATACTACAAATACGATATCCTGATAATAAAATATATAAATTGAATTTCAACATTATTGTGTGGTGGCAACGACTCTGCGGGTGACTGCGACGTGCAATCATTTTGGAAAATTATTTTATTTTTCACTTAAAATGATTTCATTTTTTTTTTTTTTTATATATCAGTGAGATATTTGTATTTTTTACGGATAAAAAAAATTAAATATCAATCTAAACGATAACATCGTAATCGAAATAAAATATAATGACAAATAAATAAAAAGTAACATTGAGGTTAAAATTACCCCGAGAGCTTTACGCATGCTTAGAGTAGTTAGGTACTAGTTTTATTTTTACTAGACAAGATCACGTAATTTTGTACGTAAAAAAAGTGACAAACTAGTCGAAATCTATCCTCAGGAACGTGTCACCACTCACCAGTGTCATCGAGGGAAATTGAATGGCAAATGGGTCAAAAATATAAAAATGAACAATGCGAGGAAAACCTCGATAACCCAAAAAGTAAAAACTATGATAAATGCATTATGCATAGGTAGTATCGAACGACAACCTATCGAAATACTTAAATTTTTTAGTTACTAGTGAATTCTTGTTTTTCATAGTTGTACCTACTCGTGCCTCTATATAATGTTGGGTTCATTATGGTGACCGATGTCAATGCGATTTTGTACACAAGAATACGTTCTACGGGAATAATGATCCTGTTCTGTAGAATTAACCAAATTTGATAATTTTTTTAATTCTTAGAGGGCTATGTTCTACAGGCCGCATCGAACTCCGTTTTTTGATATTTTAATTTCAAACTTCAAAATATGTCTTAAAAAATAATACAATTTTAAGCGTTTTTTTACCAATTATACCGTTATATTTTGAAATAAAATAAAATATCGGAGTTCGATTGTAAGAGGTCTTCTTCTTTCAGATAAAAAATTAGGTATCAAAATCCGACAATTCTACAAGGCCTGAGAGTGTTATTCCCGTGAAGTAATTTTTTTTATATAATAACCCCCCCCCCCTTAATAGGTATCGGGTAGTAGATCAGTGGAAAAGTATTATAATTAAGGTGGCAACTAAAATATAAAATTATATATTCAAATTGTATAGAATTGAGGAAAATTTGAATAAATGGCACCGGGGCCCTTATACAAGGGATTTGAACTGATTTTGTGTAGCTAAAGCTACTATACAACTGTTGGATTAAAATGTTTTTTATCATAGGTACAGACTTAAATAATTAAAACATTTTACAAAACTAACAACATTATTGTTTTAAAACCTGTTTCAACTAAAAACTCGTTTAATCTCAACAATATTGGCATAATCAATAAGTACTTATTTATTACATATTTATCAATACCTAATGGCCAATGTTCGTAATAAGTAATAACACTTTATAGTTTATACCCAATACTCATGTAATGATGAATGTTCGTCAGTCGTCACGCCTAACTGTCTAAGTATCATCGCTTATTGTAAACTCAGCTTTTCTACTTAAAAAAAAATTCTGATACTTAATTTCTAATAATTTTGTATAAGAAAGACGCAATGACTTAGATCGTTATTCGTGTAGAAAAAAAAAACTCCTACTCGTCGACGTATAATATAATATTATACTCTAATACGTGGTATAGTCTTTTCACTAGATATGATATTATTTCAATTGGCACTATGAGTACAATAAACAAGTTGAACGAAACATATTATAATTGTTAGTTTTTCTAAATATATTTACCGGATAGTAATAATAATGTATATATGTACTGTTGTTAGACCATTTATTGCTTTTCTCGCGGGCCAAACATATATAACGTCCACCTCTGTAAATAAGCGTTCACTGCAAACGGTAAATCGATAAACATTGTCAATTTAAACTTTAAAGAGTACAACAAAAAAAAATGTTAATACTCTCAATCTATTTAACCGATCAATACACGCACATAATATTATATATACAACACGTCTGTCGTCCGCTTGCCTTTCGTTTGTAATTTTCTTTTAACGCGGACGCAACTGGGTCATTTGCGGTTTGAATACGTCGAACAAAACAGCGATTGTGATTTTTACAATCCTTTTGCTGCTCGCACACATTATGTATACATATACACTGCGGGTATGCCCATAAACTTAAATTATTTATCGTGGTCGTCGGCAAAGAACTACCTGTGCGTGTACGCATTATTGTACGAACACAATCGTCTCGATCGTGGGCGTGCGTTCCTGCAGTTTATATGTATATTATAATATCGCGAATCGCGATTTCGCTTTTTTATTTTTTTTATACTATTTTACCATCGACCTGGACCGCATTAGCATGTGTAGGTACCTAAGGAGTGCACTCGAGGTACAGCGCTTATAATGATATAAAAATATTTAAACTCCTCCGTCGCCGCCGTCTCGCTGACTGCAGACTCGCGTTTCCGGCCCCTGACCGCGGCTTCCGTTTCTGCTATAGGTATGCCAGGTTCGATCATCGGCTTTATCGTGCTATAATTCGATTTGGCCGATCGCCCGAGTTAATGGTCCAGCGCAAGTGGCCACTCTGCATCGCCGGTGCTGCTGCTGCAGTCGATCCTGCTGCCCGTTTTCGTGTAAACACGAATTAGTGTTTGATAGATATAATACAGTGCACATTAAACGTACCGGACAATACGCGACGACGTGTACGCGCACTTTTCTTACATAATGTGCACGATAATAATCCCGGAACAAATGCAATTGATCTGCTTCGGATAGGTATAATCCGCACACACAGTCGTGTGCAACGTCCCATGACACACTGCACCGTCGCCACTGTCACGGTACTCTAGTGTATATATTACAGTGTGCAGTGGCGGGCGCGACATTCCTCGAGAGCAACGGGTCTTGCACCGCCACCGTGACGATGCCCCTGATAAGGCAGTGGCACCTGTGGATTTTCAGTGTGTGTGCGCGAGGTGATGACAAATGTCATTATAGGGCTGCCGCGGAATACCGTTTCCGAAACGATTCGGGATTTTTTTTCCATCGAGATAACGGCCTTGCAGGTGGTTGGCGAACAAGTCCAAGGTTACAATATTAATGGTCAGATGTGTTGATGTGCTGACCGTAAGTAACTTCATTATCGTATACGACTATGATATACAAACTCAAAACTTCAATAATTAGATATTACTCGGTTAGTCTCAGGGAGAGACTGCAGCAGTGTTGATCACCGATATAATTGAAAACGTATACTTTTGTATTTGATGTATTCGTTTAACTATTTTTGATTTTTAGTTTTGCTTTCTACGGATCAGATATATTGGTATTTGGTAACTATTTGTATTTTACATACGCGAATGTCATGACACAAACAGAAATATATAATGAATCGTTTGTATTTTAATTTAAAGTGAAAAGTGATTTGTGAATACAATAATACTTACATAATAAGCTGTTGGAAGTATTCCGATATCAAGTATCTATTTTATTCTATATATTGCGTTAATATCAACAGATTTCTAGTATTGTATTTCAATCCGATAACATAGAAATGGATTGACATTATGAATGTCAGATACGTAGATACATTTTAATAAAATCATGTTCTATATAATTATAGTCATATCGCGAAATGAAAACAGATCAATTGGTAAATGAACCGATGAAGAGAAATCCTACATATATAAATTATTAATGTAGGTATACAATTCAGAACGTACCACAAAGGAAATCTTGAATTTTATATCCCTATTTTACTGCGTTTTCGAACAATAGATTTTAGTTTTAGCGAAACTTTTTAGTGATAACATAAATAATGATAACATAAAACATTATATTGGTTTATCGTTAAAGCATTATCATAATGAACGATTATATTATGACTTATTAGTTGCTATCTTGTCATAAAGTTACAACTCTAATTTATTTAACCAACCCTATCGAGGTCTTACCATTCACAGTATAACATTTCGTTTAGGTCTACTTTTACTTTGTAATACATAACACCGACTATAACTAAGTTTTATAATAGGTAATGATGTGCACTATTGTACACAGACGTATTCGATTTTGTAAGACATGTATAATATACAGTTTATCTATATACCTTGTTGAAAATTACTACCTATTATATTGACACGTTTTGTCGTGTTCTAAATAATTTTGGTTTAGAGAACTTTAAATTAGGTAGGTACTAAATAAACGGTATAAGAATTCTCAAACAAATCGAAAGTCCTTTTACAACTAATGTTACTGTCTGTATCGGTTAGTATACCTGCTTGGCTTATTGTACTTGATTGTTAAAATCTAATTACTATATAACAATTATTTAGTTATTTTAAACCATAAATGAGTGAATAAAATGT